CCCATAGAAGACACAAGTCGCGTAAAAGGTCTCGCTCTTGGTCGCCATCTTCCCGCCAAAACTCTGTTTCCTCGCCTGACCTACATCAAGAAGGGTCCCCGCCGAAACGGCGCAAGGACGAAAACGATTCCCTGCAGAAGATTCTTCAGTCGACTGAACGTCTTTCCAACCGAATAGACTCGTTTGAGTCCCGAGCAAATCAGCCAGAAACTATTGCAGATACTGATGATGATGCTTTGTCGATTATGGCTTATGAAACCACAGGCGGCCCAAGCGCGAGATGAGAGGAAATAATTAATGTAAAGTAAATGAAACGTACGCGAACGTGATTCTTGCCTACGAGCGGTGTTGTGTTACAAAGATGCGATTTACAAGGGTTTGGATGGGAACTTTACGAGTTTGCTTTAAATACCTAAAATTTAATGTCTTACGAATAAAACGGACTTACCTTGCTTTCCTGTCGTATTCTTTGTTGTTTCACGGTGTTTGAGGCCGCTTTAACGCGTTTTCAGCGAGTTAGCGTTGGTGGTGGTGTCCCACTAGAAAAAAACACAAGGCTGGCTGGCTCAGAATCGAACCATCGTACTGCGAAGGCCAAAATATTCCGAGGAATGGACCTAGCCGCCTCAAATCACGATCGGCCGAAGCGTGAATAACTCGCTTCCCAGTCCGTCGTTCTCTGGTTCACAAATCTCATCGCAACGGCCTGAAAATCGCTCGTTTACCAGCTCAAATCTGCCTCTCTCGTTGCTGCATCATGCGTAAACTAACGGTGAGGATACCAGACTTGAAAATCGAAGCTTAGCGACCGCGTCCGCTCGACAAAAACAGAAAAAATAGAAAACTTCGTCTATTCCCTAATTTGCGTCACTTCGAAGAGCGTGGGAAAACGAATCTACAATGTCATACGCACGGTCAGCATTTAGAGATCGTAGTCATTGATAATGCTCCGTAAATGCTGTGCTTCTGCTAGTGAATTCGCATATTTTTTTTTCTCCGTTTTGACAAGCCACTCCCTATTACGAACATTAACAGGTTTGACTAACCGAAAGTCTACCGACAAATCAATCGTGATTAATCTTCACATATTTTGTTCCTCTCAATCGTACAGTCGGTCATTCGGGCATTGATCGGGAAGCGATCTTCGCACACCCGAAGTTTGATTAAGTATGAATATTCTTTTGTTACACGATTTTGGTTAACGGACACGCTCGATGACATGGAATCTACGGTCCTCCGGCCGTAGATTCAAAAAGCGTGACCGACTCCAGAGCTTTTCCACTAAAATCCTAATGATGTGTTTCAACTTTGCACTGTCGCGCCCAGTACTATTAAAAAAAATAAAGGACACTGGACAAAAACGGAAGTCAGACAACAAAAAAGCTCTTGCTTTTATTGTATGTTTAATTAGCTAAACTACCCGGCTCATTTGCATTTAATAATAGAGAATATCCTTACTGTGAACCTGGGACAATAATACCGTATATACAATCTCCATTTTAACAGGATAAAATGTCCTATCTACGATGGCTCGATCTAAAATACTACATCTGTACATTACAAAGAAGACTAAAATCATTTGGTTAACCCGTGCAAAGCAACAATAACCTACGTAACAGGCTCCTTTAAATCTTGGAGAGTTTTGGGAAAACGCCTGCTAAGCTGTTTATATAAACAGTAAAACACTAGAATTAATTGCGACAACTTTAGCGAGATTATCGAATAGCAGTTAGGGATTCGCCTGGAAATAATAACAAGAGACCACACAGCAGTGTAGCTTAATTTGAACTTAAAATCTAGCAGCAGCAGCAGC